AGTGCCCTCAAGGCTGTGGAGCCGGGCAGCTGGATCTCTTCCCCGATGCGTTTGCCAAGCTTGACGACCCCAACAAGGGTGAGATTAAAGTGCAGTGGGAACAAGTCCCGTGCGGGATCACCTCGCCCATAGTTGTCCGCAATAAGGAGGGCACTTCTAAGTGGTGGTACGTTCCTCTTTATTATTTTTCTGCCCATCTCTCAATTAAATCTCATATCCGATGCAGGTTCTCCATGCAAGTCATGAACCACAACTATCCCGTCACCAAGTTCGAAGTCAGTGCCGACGGCGGCAAGACCTGGCAGAGTACCGTTCGCCAAGACTACAACTACTGGCAGAAAAGCAGCGGTGATGGCTTCAACGTTGACACTGTCAGCGTCCGTGTCACTTGTAGCAACGGGAAGCAAGTTGTGATCAACAACGTAGGCACCACTGAGAAAGCGCAGTTCAAGGCTTCTGCCAATTGCTGAGCGGCAAGACTCGGTGACAATCCCATAAGCCCAAAGTGGACATGCATGTAGTCTGTACATAATTTTATCTTCCTCGTACGTAATGAGTTGACACATACTAAGCACGCTCCCATGTGTTATCGCCTCTAAGATCACGTTGCGTTGCAATACGTTAGGCCCTCACCTGCTGCAGGACCAGGACTTCGTACAACGTCTCAACTCAAGCCTATCAATACGAGAGCAGACCAGTCGTCTCGCAAGCGGGCATGAATGTGCGTATCAATTGAAGCCGATAGCCGGAATTTGAGGACTGTTGTCATTCCGAAGTGTTCCCAACTAGCTCTAATTCGGAAAGCAAACCCGTACCGCGGAGCGAACCCAGGCATGCGGGATGAGGGGCCGAGGTTGCGAAAAGCCTGGCTCCTTTTTCGGCGCAGCAGACCGAGCCTTCCGACAGGCCTAAGCCCTGTAATCATTGGGCGCCCCATCATCAACTGATAGTTGATACCGTTCGGTACTGCCTTTGAGAGCCATAAAGTATCTTACACACACGAATGTCCCCGCGATGACTGACTACATCTGGAAGATACTTGAGATGACCTGTTTAAAGTTGAATGCAGGAGGACGACGTGTGGATTGAAATCCTAGGCTATGTGCACTGAACAGCGGTATCGGTAGAATATGACTTTAGACTCGTCCTCTTAGTACAAGGGTGCGCTAGTTCAGATGCAAAATCGAACTGGGGTGAGCCACGACAGGTGTGGCTCGTTAACATTTAGCGGATGATCAGTTTCTGATAGCGCCCACGGTCGCAATCTCACCGAGGCCATTCACTACTTGTGATGCATCATGCTGCCAGTTGAGAGACAACTTCATGAGTAGAGATTCATGGTTTCATCGCTGAATCTGTCACCATGACTGGCGAAGGAGGAAGTCCCATCAATTCGGCGGAAACCGAAGCCGATCATGGAAGCGCAAGTGCGCGGGGCAAACGGTCAAGCAACGCGTAAGTCCCCTTGCTGGACTCTGCCACGCGCACGCTCCTTGGAATCTTACGCTGAAGTTACCAAGCTGCCTTCGCTGTCGTGAAAGAAAGGTCAAGTGCTCGGGCTCGGAGCCTTGCACAAACTGCATCCGTCGCGCAACCGAGTGCGTTTTCGATAGGGAAGACAGAAAAGTGGTGGTATCTGAGAGGTAGGCGGCTACCGTCCCCTGCCCGTGATCCTCTCTAACCGGAATCGAAGGTTTCTAAATGAACTCAAACGCAAGTCCGGGTATGGCATCGATGATAATCTTCAGCCTTCGCCAACATCCAAGCGATCTCGGGTAAATCGATCAACTTCTCCCGTGGACGAAGACGGACGTCGTGGTGAGTATGGCCACTAGGTCCATGTGACTTGAAGCTAAGAGGCATGTTAGATGCAAAACAAAGCCCTACTCCAGCGGGAGATCTTGGGGCACATGATCGAGCATCGACGCATGATGTGTTCGTGGTGGATGATGGCACGACTGTTGTAGGCGGTGGCGACCTCGATGAGCGGCGTCATGGAAGCTTTCCTGTTATGCGAAATCCCCTTGCAAGTGGTCCATCCAGGTTCTTAACAGATTCAAACGGGAGAAGGCGTGAGTTTATGAAACACACTTTATGGAAACAAATAACTAACTTGCTTCAGGATGGCTTGGCCCTTCATCAACTTGGGCGTACAGCCAACAGGTTCTGAGCATGATCCAGGGGTATCTTGGCCAACATGAGTCACCAGAGCTTCCATTGAATGTTGACGCGCAGGCGTTCAAGATAGACTGGCCATCCTCCCGAGAAGCTCTTCCGCGTCCTACAGTCGACATTCCGTCTCTCGATTACGCCCTCTATCTCACCAATACTGTCAAGTTTCACCTTGGCCAGACGTACCATCTATTTGACGAAGACTCTTTCATGCATGGGTTATATGACTTTTATAGGAAAGGTCCCAACACAGGGCCCAAGGCAGATGATCGATTATGGTACATCCAGTTTCTTCTCATCATGGCTTTCGGTAAAGCTTTACTCGTGCCAGGAACGCCAGATCAAAGTCCTCCAGGCAGCAGTCTTGTCACCAGAGCCTTTGAACTTCTGCCCGATGCCCACGGTCTCTATCAAGACCCGGTATTGTCCGTGGAGATACTATGCTGTCTCGCTCTATATTTGCAGTCTGTTGATCATCGCAACAGTGCTTACACCTATGTAAGTCAAGCATCTCTATCTGACGGATGTCCTTGCTCATGACATAGGCAGATAGGCCAGGCTTTTCGTATCGCCATGACACAGGGACTGCATCGTGAGCCTCTTTCAGGGCTCCTAACCGACACAGAGGCCAACAGGTTGCGGTGCATTTGGTGGACAATTTACATTTTGGATCGAAAGCTATCATCGTTGATGGGCGCCCCGAACTCGATTCAGGACAGCGATATCACTGTCCATCTACCTCGGTCAGACCCGGTTGTACAGAAGTATAAGGCTTTGAGTCTTCATGTGGTTCTTTCGAAGCTCCATGCCAAGGTTTTAAACAGTAAGGCCTCTTCCACAGACATTCAGCTTGAACGGAACTGAAAATCTCATAGCCGTCTATGGAGTCGACGGCAAGCTCGACCCTTCATTTCTGAAAAACGTCCAAGAAGCTCTCAGAGACATGGCAAGACTCGCTCCACAACTCACAGCAGGATTTGAGTTTAAGTTAAACAACTCGGAGCCTGCCTCGCGAGTCTCTGCCACCCTCAACCTGTGTTACCATCAGGTATTTCGTCATCACCGTCCAGTATCTGTTTCAATTCATCTGACATCCATAGTGTGTGGTCCTCGCAACACGACCTATTTTAATATGTCTACTACAAGACATTCTAGCAAGAAAGGATCATTCCCAACGAAACCTTGCAAGTCCGATCAAGGCGCTTCTAAAGACATCTTCTGATTCAGCGACCAAGTCTGTTCGCATACTGTCAACGTTGAAAACTCAGCATCTTCTCGGTAAGTGGCCTTCGATTTATCACCAGTCTTTCTGTCAGTAACCTGACTGTCTGTAGAAACATTCTTGCCATTCGACCTGGAACAGACTTTCTCATCTGCATTTGTACTCACGCTCATGACTTCCATTCCAGGCCTTCCCGACCGAGAGGGCAACCATTTGAAGGATGCCTTCGAAATCCTGGACACGATGATTGCTCGTGGCAACGTTGTTGCTAGATTCCGGAGAGAGGAGCTAGAAAAGCTGCAAGAGATACTTCGTTTGACACAGTCGCGGATTGAAAGGCCGGTAACAGCATCCGAAAGAAATGAGGGGCATTTGATGATGAACTCGATCGGAGGTTCGGATGATGGGCTTCTCCAGGACCGTGATCCACCTACCGGCAGCACGGCCAATGGCCTGGCATCCGAGCAGATGTTGTCCATTGCGGGACTGTTAGACTGGGAACCGAACATGTCTACTTTTGGCGACGATCAGCTTGCGGGAAGCTGGCTCTGGACAGATACGATTACGCAAGACTTCGACTTCGGCGGGGGTCTTCTATGATAGGCTCTCAAACATGCTCTCAGATGTTTCATCCCGAAATCTGTTAGCTCAACGGAACCACAGCTGATGTCAAATGACGAATGCGCCATTATTAAATAGCAAACAGGCTTCTAGGACAAGGGCAGGACAACTGGACTTTACGGAGATATCATGGAAGTTTCAAGAGGACGCGACTTCTGGTGGAGTCCATGGGCAGTAACTTCTCTCCAGGTTGGGCACCTTTGACGCAACCTGACCATTTCGTGTCAGAAGATATCCAGTTATCAACTCAAGCAGTACATTCACGACTAGTATCAAATCAGCTTCAGATAGGGGCTTGGCCGAGTCAGTGGGTTATCTGGCACAAGCGCGGGACGGCGACCCGAGGGCTCTCCCCGCGTTCCCCAAGCTTCGGGACCCACTACCGAACCATTACCCCGGACCCACGGGGGTTAAGATAATGACCAAGTTGGGAATGTCACAGACTACCTAAGAGAAGCTACGAAGGTCTTTGTCTTTGGTATAACTCCTGATGTCCCAATTCAATGGTTCAGCCTATAGGGCCCCAAAGGCTAGAGCTGCGTCCCTGCCTTCGTCCTGAAGTACAACTCAATTGCACGAGAAGCCACCAGCCTCAGTCTTCCCACCTTCCATCAACTTGGTACTGTTTTTACTTAAAAATTGGCGACAAAATCGAATCATGGGCCAAGAGAAACTGGAGCCCTCAGCCATGGAGGCCTTGTCTCGCCAACAAAGCGCAAAGGTTGGCGAGATGCAGGATCCGGCAAACCAACCAGGCCATGACCTACATAAACGCCTCGAGACTCGTCATGTCACCATGATTGCTTTGGGCGGCGCGCTTGGAACAGGTTTACTTATAGGAACGTGAGTCTCATCCTGAACCTCTTGTCAGCTAGAGATTCCCGACTCTTGATAACACTTACCCAGTGGCTCAGCCCTCGTCAAGACAGGCCCTGCTGGAATACTCATAGACTATTCCATCGTCGGCTGCATAGTCTTCCTCGTCATGGCAGCACTCGGCGAGATCATCTCCTACATGCCGTTATCCCACGGTTTCGGTGGTTACGCAACCCGCTTCGTGGACCCTGCGCTGGGCTTCGCCACCGGTTACTCCTACTTCTTCAAGTACCTCCTTGCAACTCCGAACCAACTCTCCGCATTCGCTCTCATTATGAAGTTTTGGGTCGGTGATCGTGTTAGCCCGGCCATCTTCATTACCATCGCCCTCGTCCTCATTCTCGTCATCAACAGCGTCAGCGTCAAAGCTTTCGGCGAGTTCGAATTCTGGTTGTCGTCATTGAAGGTGTTGATAATGGTAGGTGTTATTCTCCTGCTCTTTATTCTTGCAGTTGGTGGCGGCCCGACCGGCGATCGCCCTGGGTTCAGGTACTGGTCCAATCCGGGAGCATTTGCGGAATACAAGGTCGATGGTGATAAGGGCCGGCTGCTTGGTGTATGGAGCGCGATGGTTGCAGCTGTGTACGCCTTCTCTGGTACCGAGCTTGTGGGTGTCACCGTTGGCGAGGCCAAGAATCCGCGACTGAGTATGCCGAAGGCTATCCGCCTTACCTTCCTCCGCATCGTCTTCTTCTATGTAATCTCGGTCTTTCTGCTTGGACTCGTTGTTCCCTACGACAGTCAGGATCTTGCTTTTGCTGCCGGTGCCAAGACCAGCGCAGCAGCCTCTCCTTTCGTCGTAGCCATTAAGATCGCCAAGATCAAGGGCCTTGATCATGTCATCAATGGCTGCTTGGTGGTCTTCGTCTTCTCGGCCGCCAACTCGGATATCTACATCTCATCCCGTACGCTGTATGGCATCGCAATTGATGGAAAGGCACCTCGAATCTTCACGCGTACAACGAAGGCTGGCGTGCCCTTTGTATCTTTGGCTCTCTGCGGCGCGTTCTGTGGCTTGGCGTACATGTCTGTCAGCTCGAGTGCTGCGACGGTGTTCAACAACCTTACGAGCATCGTCACGGTATTTGGTGAGTATCGGAACACATTTGATGACTTCAAGCATGCTGACTGGTTCAGGACTTCTGACCTGGATTTCCATTCTCATATCCCATATCTTCTTCTGTAGAGCTCGTGATGCCCAAAACATCGACGCTGCCTACATCCCTTACCGTGCTCCTTTTGGCTCATGGGGATCATACATCGCTCTCTGCTTTCTGATCATTCTCACCTTCACAAAGGGCATTGAAGTATTCGTCGGCACCTTCGACTACAAGAGCTTCATCGTGCAGTACATCGGCATCCCAGTCTATCTCTTTTGCATATTCGGCTATAAGATCGTCAAGAAATCGCACCGTGTACGGACCAAGACGGCGGATCTCGTAACCGGGGTGCCAGAAGAGACCGTGGCAGAAGAGAAGACTGCAGTGGAGATGGCGAGGAGAGAGAAGGAGGCAGCGGCAGGGCAGAAGGGCGTCATTGTCAAGATCTATCGCAAGGGGTTTGCGTGGCTTTTTTAGGACCCTTCCAAATAAGAAATGACTTATCAACGTGACAGATGACATCTCGAAACAAGCCTCAAATAGATGCAGGTTGGGGCAAGTCCACTTCACCACAGAATGCAACACACTACCGGTGTGGTGGAACATAGCATGTGGAGCCGAGGAATGTTGAAGTCTCCGAAACATCGGGACCGACGAGTGAATTCGGATGCCTTGGAAAATCATTCGGGTTTGTGCTTTGGCCGTGAGAAAGCTCAAATGGATTTAGCGATGGCTACGTCTTGAGATAGGCAAGAGACCCAATGTTCACCGGGAATGACTCGGGCTGTATGTCTTGTCCGTACGGCGAGTGGAAATACATCAGGTTATCTGTGTGGTTTTCTTGGGACCGCGGAGGCGGGCTCTGCTCCGATGTGAACTGGGTCTTCGTCCCCACAGCATCTGTCTGTTTCCTCCCATGCGGCGGGTTTGAATTCCGCTGCCCCCTCTGGCTAAGCGATTGGACCATAAACCTGCGGCTGGAACCTCGCGCCCCAGAAGCATTTTCTAATCGCGGTTTAGCAGGCTGTACCAACGAAACTGCTTCCACTTACAGCCGAACACAATGCCACATGTGCATGCAGTCTTACGAGGCCCTTGTCTCCCTTTGGCTCTCAAGGCCTCATTCGCCCCAGTGCGAGGAAGATGTTCCTCTTTGAGAGAGACTTCCGTTGCAGAAGGTCCCGATAAACTGCAGGGTTTTGCAAACATGCATACGATGACAAAATGTACACAAAGCCAAGAAGAGGGGTTTGGTGGGCAGCCAAATAATTGTTTGTCCCACTTGATTTAAGCAAGCCTGGTCGATCTTCTCCAGTTTCCTCACCCTCGCGACTCTCTCTCCATCAAACCGAGAAAAGGTGACACTTCGTTGAAGAACTTGCTCCCCCGGTCATCTTTAAGATGTCAGCATCGAACGCCAACACCGGAGCGTCAGATGCTCAGCCCAACATCGTCTACGACAATCAGGTCGAACTCGCTCCCGACGACGATGCTAATCAAGCAGTCGCTGCTCCTGCGGGAGAACCGGTACACCCGCCTCACAAATCCTGACCAAGAATCGTGGGCACCGCGCAGCTAATCATCTATCGCAGAACCAGGACGATGATGCTGCATCAATCACACCTGTAAGTGGTCAAGAGAGCGCTAACTAGATGCCAGATGGTAGCTAAGTCTTGCCTTTCAGAGCAGTGTCAATTTGTCAACTTCTAGCGTGACTAGCTCAGTCTTGGAATACAGACAAGAGAACGGGCGGACTTACCATGGGTACAAAGAAGGCAGTACGTGTTGTACCACCAAATCGACCACATGACCACAGTTCTGACCGAAAACTCCCCAGAATACATGCTTCCAAACGATGATAGAGAAGTCGATAGGCTCGGTGCGCATTCCCGTTTCATGTATAGAGGATGAGTGCTTCTGCGGCCAATCTAACCCAGCCCAGACCTTCAGCACAACCTCTTCATCAGAACATTTGACGGGAGGCTTGCAACTGCTCCCCCAAATGATCCTGACGCCAAGGTCAAGAACGTTTTGGATGTCGGAACTGGAAGCGGAATCTGGGCAATGGACTTTGGGGATCAGCACCCTGAAGCGGAGGTTGGTCCAGAAACTGACTTGCAAATCAGTCTCGTTTCTGACTTTCACCAGGTTCGCGGGTTTGATCTTTCGGCCGTCTTTCCTGAATTGTAAGCTATGAGCTCAAGCCTGGGCTAAGAAGGATGGTTGACTAACCTTCCTAGCACCGCCCCTAACGTACGATTTGAGATAGATGATCTCGAAGAGCCTTGGACTTGGACGGAGCCTTTTGACTATATTCATAGTCGCATGATGAATTCGTCAATCAGTGACTGGAAGGCATACATTCAGAAGTGTTATGAGTGAGTTTACATCCGCTTCAAAAGACCGCCCGGCTGACAACCCTGGCTAGCCACTTGAGCGATGGCGGATACCTTGAGCTCATTGAGATCGACTGCATCCCTCTTTCTGACGATGGAACTCTGACCCCAGAACATTCTATCATGAAAACAGGCAATCTATTACTGGAGGCTACGACGAATGCTGGCCGCAAGTATATATATCCCCCTGATCTCAAGGCTATGATGGTGGAAGCAGGCTTCGATGACGTGACAATGCAACTCTTCAAATGGCCTGTTAACTCTTGGCCAAAAGAACAAAAATATAAGGAAATTGGACAATGGCAGAATGAGAATCTCTACCAGGGCTGGGAAGCTATCTGCATGGCGCCTCTAACGAGGGCGCTTGGCTGGACCAAGGAGGAAGTCACGGTTTTGATGGCCCAGAACCGCCAGGACTTCAACAATCGCAACATTCATGCCTACTTCCCCATGTCAGTTTTCAATTTCCACTTGAGAAAACTTCATTATATACTGACAAACTATTCCCAGTTGGACTATCTACGGCCGAAAGCTTTCCAGAACTGAGAGCCAGCCGTAGCTTTGGGATCTATCGTGCACAAATGTGCGGCCCGCGAATCGTGCATGCAAATGTTCATAGTCTTTGCGCTTTTTCTAATATAGATCCCCTATGCACTTCAAAGGCAGACTGTCTTGTGACTTCTTATCGTGTGTGCTATGTTGCACTGGGCAATTCATGCCAGTTAGTAACCTAGCAAGCTAGATCTTGTGGAGGCGGGATCAAATCACGGACTATACGATAATCACTTGTATTGACGTGTATTCTTTTGAAAATGAAACCAAAGGTTTTTCTCGCAGGTCCCTGAAACTGGATATTCCTCTAGGTGTGAAGTTGCGGTGCATGCAGTTGGATAATGGGGGAGCAACCTGAACCATCAAGCTGCGGATGACGGTCAGAAAGGGTCTCATATTTTCGCAACTCAATACCATGCACGCTTCCTGACATGGAATAGTTGCGTTTGCCGGCTTCTATCGTCGTTACCTTGTAGTTCTGATTTCGGGTCAAATGTGTGATCGCGCAATGGGAGTCGCCCTCTTCGCTGCGAGATTCAGTGACTACCCCACCCCACTTCAGTTGAAATCGCCTGGTTAAATCGGTGACTACACATCAGAAAGTTGACAGCGCCAGCATTGACATCTGTGCGGACAGTCACGAAGGTTCAACTAGGGGCTGCAATTAATATCAGGCTTCCTTTTGAAGTTGTATTTGGGTTCTCCGATTCCCAGCTGGGATACGTCATTACGTTCAACTTTCTCACATCATAGAGACGCCATTAAAGCCAGCTCTGCAAATTGCAAAGCATGTGAAAAATATTAGTTGACAAGATTTCATTCTCTCCCAACGTTTTGGTCTTGTGCTATCTCTTCCTACGCCTTTTTTGCCAAAAGAGAACTCTGCTCACCTATCAAGCATCCAACGAGCCCAAAGACTTCGGCCTGCACCAGTGGACTTGTATTTTAGATAAATGTCTCCCTCTTTAGTTCTGGGGGCTTTTCATACTTTCTTTTCGAAGTGTCGCCTAATGTTAGCTCAGTTGTTAGACAGCACAAGAAGCGTGGAGTTCCCCTTCTCCTCTTTGCGGCCCTTCTGGGTTCACGACAGAATATGTTGCAATAGGTCCAGGGATGTAAAAGGGGGAAATACGTACTTTCGTTCCGACTAGTGTGGGGTTGAATGAAGACACAAGGGGATCGCAGCCTTCTCCCATTTGGAATTGCGAAGGCGGACGCAGCTCCGATGGGTACTGGGTCTGTCGTCTCCGCAAAACTTCTTTGATGCTGGTTCATCCCATGCAGCGGTTGTATCTTCCGTAGGCCCCGTCATTATAGCTATTGGATGAAGCTCATGGCTGGAGCCTCGCGACCGTAAATCGTTTGCTTCTCGTGGTCTAGCCGGCGTTTGCCTATGACAAGACTTCCTGTTACAGACAGACACGCCGTGACACATGCCTGCAGGCGTTACGAAGGCCTTGTCAATACCTGGCCGTCATAATATCATTCGCTCCAGCGTGGGGAGAGCGTTCCCGTTTTCAATGAAAGTGCCCACCGCAACGGTATTTGCTGCAAGTCCATCGCAAATACGCATACGGCGGCAGAGGGCATACAGCCAAGAAGAGGGGCTCGGTGTTCGTGACATAAATCTTCGTGTCCCCCAAGATATCGCAGCGTTTCATTGATCCGCAACTTATTTCTGTCTTTCCCAGAAATCCTTCCACTGTTCTCAAACTAAGTCCCCGCCTACCAAGTTTGCCCGCCAACACGTTCCGCTCAAAATGATCGCGGCCAACTTCGCGACTGGGGAGCCAAACACAGAGGCCAATCTACAACCTAACACTACGACTGATCATGAGGTCACTATCGCGGCCGATGAGAATGTAATTGGCCACTAATTGCGTGTTTGTGGGAAGTCGAGATGTGCTAATGACTTGGAACAGGACGACACTGCGTCTCAGTACGCCGTGAGTGTTGTTGTTGTTGTTGTTGTATTTAACGCCGAGGCGGCAAGGGCGCAACCGCCCTTGCGGCCGACCTCCCGAAGGGTATATGGCGTGAAGGGCCGCAGGCTCAAGCTATATACTCTAAAGTACACTCCTCTTCCTAACG